TTTGTCTACGTTTTTTATATGTTTATTAAACGTATTATTTCCGTATACTTTCCTTATACTAATTATTTATAGGGATGTAGTATACTACTTATGGGAAGATGAAAACCAATTTATAAATTTATCTTAAAATATCACACTATTAACTTTCTAATAAAAAAATCAAAGCCATTATACGTATGTTTTTAAATATAATTCATTTAAACTTTGAAAAAAGTATAGATCTTACTGGTAAAGTTCTAAAACTAATAGTGAAATCATACTTAAATTATTTCAATATATCTACTTTATGTGAAAGATATAAATCAGAAAATAATATGGGTTTATCTGCAATTGCAAATTCATGCTATAATTTAGAATATCTAAATATTTTCTATTGCATAGAATTTTCTGAAAATTCAATTTGTAACATTATCCATTCTTGTCTAAAGCTCTAACATCTTAACCTTAGATTTTATATAATTACCGATATAACTATCAAAGAAATTGCTAGTTCATTCTTAATTTAAAATATCTTAATCTGAAAGGGTATTATAAAATTAGCAAAAAGGCTGTAGATCAACTCATTTCACTTAATCCAAATATCAATGTTGAGAATTTCGTGTGTACTATAACACCTTCTGATTTTGATGCATATTCTGTGATGTATTCACTTTCAGGGATATTGGGATATCAGTAATACATAAAAAGATATTACGTACTTAAATAATTATATTAATAATGAACTAATAAGGAGAATGAACAGAATTCTGCAAACGTTCTGATCTGAAATACTGATCATCAACCTACACAAATTTATTTTTATTAAAGTATAAATGATTAATTGGCAAAATATTAGTTGACGAAAAACATGCTTTTATTTTTTCGATTGAAAATATAATATATAATACAACATATATTATTTATGATGAATTCAAGCATCTTTTATTTAACAGAACTATTAGAATGGATTTTACATTTCTTAATGATAGATAAGTTACTATATCCTGCTCTATTTGTTTCCCAATTATGATACAGATGTGATGCTCCTATTTTATGGAAATGTGTCAAGCTAAAGAAAGGTGAAAGAGAGGATTACACTTGATTGAAGAAATTTATGAAATTAGTACAAAAAAGATAAAAGCCAGTCTATAGCTCAAATCTAATTCATCCAGACATTTCATACTACTGCTATCTTTCGAATAAAAAAATCAAAGGCATTGTATGCTTATTCTAAATCAATAATTTTACAATAGCTAAAATCAAGTTGTTAGAGTCTTAAGCAAGAACGAATAATATTATAAATTGATTGTCTACAAATATCTGTGCGATAAGAAATATTTAGATATTCTAATTTATGGCATGATCAGACAATTGCATATAGACTTTCATCAGTTATTATGCATATATTACAAGATTTATACTTGTCTTTTTGCAAATTAAGATACTTCAAATTAGGGTATGATTTTGCTATTCAATTTAGTATTTTATCGCTTAATTCTATGCTAAAATTAAAATCTAAATGAACTATATTCAATTATCGAAAAGATTATGTTTTAATTTAAAATATCTTAATCTGGAAGGGTGTTACAAAATTAGCAAAAAAAGTTGTGAATCAGCTTGTTTTATTTAATTCAAATATCCATATTGAGAATTTTGTGAAAACTTTAACACCTTCTAATCTTATTGAAGTATTTAGAAATCATCTTATACAGCCCAATAATAGGATCCTGAACTATACTAATATAACTCACATTTGAGTTTGCATAGAGTTTATATGTAAACTTTACCAAAAGTTGCTTATTTTTACAAATTTACTTATCCTACATACACAATTATCTCAATAACCAGTGATTCAAATTTTAATGAATATTATACCATTGGATTCGTCTAACTGAGAGGAATCTAATGGTAGTAATTTCATCTTTCTAGCATTAATATTGACCAAGTTATACCATATAATATAATTTTAATTGTGTATTCGTACTACATTTGTGAGTTCTATTAGTATATTTCAGGGTCCTCCAATAATACTAATTATCAGATTTTAGCTCAGAGTCTTCATAGCCTTTTAGATTTAAGTATGCAAAATAATTTGCAGTAGTATTTCAATCCAAAATTGCCTGTGCAATGCTTTTTTTTACTAAATTCAAAAAAAAAAAAATATTTGAGTTTGTGATAGGTGTCTCTCTTCCAAAAAATTATTTTAATAAAGAAAATAAATTTCACCGATAATTCATTTCATTCATAATTAGTAATAAATAATATTTTTTATTTAGTTTTACAAATCAAATATCATCCTTCTTTCTTTAATGGATTAGAACTTGATGCCTTCTTCCAAAAATATCGAATTGCCTTGGAGATGCAAAAGACTTAGCATTGGTTTCATAGCATTAGCTGGTATAAGGATGATCAGCAAAAAAGATGCATTTGTCTAGATAATGGAATTTTCTTTATTGAGCTTATTGAGGTATGATATGACCAAAACCCAGAAATTGTCATTCCAGAAAGAATATGAAAAATTAAGGAGTTTGTTTACCTAGCATCAAAAAGTTTTGATATGTTATAATCAATAGTCTTATAATACATATGACTCTGTTTAATTAGCAGATAAATATATTGTGTATCACAGTTAAGGTATGAGCCAATTCTGATAATAGCAACAGACCTCCCAATTCTTAGAATACAGGCGAAATCGAATGAATTAAAAAGTATGTTCTTATCGAATATGCCCCATTAGCACAAGTATAGCAACTTTATCATGTACAGCTGTTTGCTTCACATTCGTAGCTTGAAAGCTTATCACCTAAAAAGTGGTGATGTCAGAGGCGAGTCACGATCTCAAATTGTTACGCCTAGCATTACACGCAATGTAATGAATTTCGTCACATTGCATGATCGTGGTATAATTTTGCTTAGTAATCAAAATGAAACACAATCCGTCAGCCTTAAATGGTTAAATGGAAAATAACAAGTAAGCTAGAATAAATTTGGTTGCACTTATCTTTTGTTTTTATTTTTTATTTACTAATTTCTATTACCAAAGTACATACCAAAGTACATACGAAAGTACATACGACTGGCTTAACAAACTACACGAACCATGGATGAGAGCGGTAATAACGGAATTCATAGATCCTTACAGGTGAATTTTCACATGAAAAAAAAAGTAAATGGGAGTAAAGTCACAACTCGATATAACAAACTCTCCGGTTCACTGAAAAAATTCGCTGTCAAAATTTAATCTGTTTGATATAACGACTTTATATATACAAAATTTTAAAAATCGTTTATCGTGAAATTCGTTATATCGCATAGTTCTGACTGTAGCTTGATTGATCATGGGCTGTCTTGGGAAATAATAAAAGAAACCTTGGATTTTGAAAGCTAGAGGGTATCATTCGTGATTTAACAAAACATTATTTTATGCAGGTTGAACGGAGTTGTAATGCCTTATGGCAACGAGGGCAAGGAGATGACTCCACCATCTGCTCGTCCGATCCTTATCATCACTGTATGGGATGCAGTGGCCCTGCTTTGGACGTACAGTATAAGTCGACCTCCAAAAGTGAAATGCAATTACAACGTAATGCCTCCAAGAATAAAATTCGTAAACCAAGTCGCATATCTGGAGAAAATGCGGTTAGTCCTTATGAGCAAATTACTGGAAATGGGGGAGATGAAAACTCTTCCCGCCACGGTAAATCTCACATTCTCCGCTCGGAAGGGGGACATCAAGAATTTCTTTTTCGGAGTATCAATTCGTGGGAAGAGAGGAACAACGAGAGAAGAGAAAAGACAGGCATACATAAGAGACGAACTAGCAACGAAAATGAGAGTAAAAATGATGAAAGCAATGTATTCAAGTGTTCAAACCGAGGGGAAACTGAACGGTTACTCACAATCCTGGGGCCATTGCTCAGAGTCGGTACCCTGGTGGGCTCTTCATGGAAAGAAGATAACCCGAAAACGCCGTGTTACCTTGTACTCCCGGACAGTAAACCTAAATGGACTATTGATACTTCCATGTCCCCTTTGTCTTATGATAATAAATTCGACTCATCTGGCAATAATCCGACCTTGGTAGTCGAAATGATCGAGAATGAATCGGACCGTTGTCGTATTGCAAAATCCCTTAATATAGAGATACAAAGCGTTGGTCTTCAAAAAGATTATATTTATCGTGACATAATGGACATTGCACAGTGCGGATTCAATCATATAATTATTATTGGGAGTTGTTACTGTGGTCTACTTTTTCTGGACTGCTATGAACGCGTATTCAGATGGGACGCTATGATTGATTTACTATGGTTTTTCGGGAATTTTTTTAATGTAGTATCAGAGGAACCAGAGAAACCTTGTGGAGTGCAATGGGGCGTTTCATTAGATGGAACTGTGTGGGAGCTATCTGGTATTTACGCATATTTTGCTTGTTCTTTATCTTAATATAACTAATTTCTTTTCTTTTCTTTTAGGTTCGGATTCGCCAGAAGAATGTAATTCTCACCCCGTAAATGACAAGAAAAAAAGTAAGAAAAAAGGCAAGAATAAGAACCAAATAAAGCGTCATTAATAAAGGATTTTTAAATTTCGTTATGTTTATAATAATCATATTGGGCTAGATAGTTATTGTTTTTATTCTTGTAATCATCAAATATATTTGCTTTAAAAAATAAAAATATGCTATTGAAAATTAATCATCTCTTGGAAAAAGTGGTCAGAAAAAGAACGCGCACGTGGTTTTTTTCGGCAATATTAACTTATTAAATGTTCGAATATTTAACTACTTCGTGTCTAGAACTTCGCACTAGTTGTTATTGTATCTATGACAAGCAAATCTGTCCTATATGTAATAAAGAGCATTGGTATCTGGAAGGCCACTGGTTAGTCGGTAATTAAGGAAGTGAAATATATTATTTGATTTGCGATAATATCAAAGAACCCGGAATTTCGCTGATCGATCATATTCTGAAAAATCAAGAACAGATTCCGGAGACCGGGACAAAGTAGAGGCATGAATAGTTGGAGTCACGGGTCTGGAGATAGGAGATGTTTCAAGAGATGGTGTAACATACTCATACTCTGTACAGTTTGTCCGATACAACAATGGCATCTACCTCGACTGCAAAAGAAATGAAGTTAATTGACGAGGTCAAAAAGCTTAATACCGAGAAACTTATCGACTTTTTATCTGAAGAAATACAGCTAGACGAGGATGACAGAGATATTATCCGCGAGAAAAAGGTAAATTGACAGAAGATAAGCTTGAGGAATGGGGAATAGCAGATGGTTCAGTTTTAGCAATTGTGGATTTCGTTGAGGAACTCAGAGG